ACCAGTTGGAAAGATTATGTTTGGTCAGAGTAGAGGAAGGAGCAATACCTCTACTGGAGTGCTTGTATATTCAACTCTGTGTGGTTTTGAAGAAAGTGCCTTTCGGCATCGAACCTCTCACCAACCTCATGCGAATCCAGTTCTTTGACATGCATGCCCAATGAACTTTAGGTTCGTTTGATTGCTTATACAATAGGGTAAAATGTCGAAATCTCCCCTAAAGTTTCTGATAATGATAAAATCTTCCCTTCAGCTTTCACTTTTACAAAAGGCTCCCCTGTAGTATTGAAAAAACCTGCAATTACTCCCTTATTCTCATTGAGGAAAACGTTAGTTCAATAATTAGTTTTTTAAATACCCATTTTACCCTTATATCTATCAATGTAGATAGATGAAAATTCATTAAAATACCCCAAAATATTCACTTTTAATTAAAAATCTTTGAGTTAGGTTGAAAAGAATAAAGTAATTTTTAGTCTATAAAAACGTTAACTTTAGTGAATTATATTGAAAGATCCCCTAATAAGTTGTAAGGGTGTCTTCTTTAATTACTGAAAGTGAAACTTCAGGAGAGATTTTTATAATTGTCAGAAACATCAGTGGAGGTTTTTATATTTTACCCTATAGATACTAAAAGAACCTAAGGCTTATTCCTTCACAACTTTCCCTCAATTTTTTTTTTTTTGATCTCTCACTTTCTATAAAACCAATATGACATAAAAAAAAATATATGAACTTTCTACTTTTACTAATCATCATGTGTATTTAAATAAATCTGATTCTTTTGCAGGAGGGGATTGAGAAGATCTAATATGAACTATTGGTGAATCCGATTGTATCCTACTAAGCAAAAAATAAGGGATTGTATTGTTGGATTTTAATCTCATAAGAGATTAAATCCAATGGGTTTGATTGGTCAATTACATGAGAAATTGCATCTATACACTTAATTGAAAAATTAGCTTTTCTCTTACAAAACCCGATTTTGAACTTGTCCCACATTGGAAAATTATAAGCTTTGTTTTCAGTATTTTAATAGGAGCTGATTTACACTCTATAGAAATAGTAGAGGAGAGTATAGGGTTTGATACCGCGCAACACGTGCGCGCGTGTCTGCGGCACAATGAGGCGCTTTAGAGGCACACTTTTCTCGCACCCATGTGGCTCGCGAAGGGCGGTTTTGGTTTTGGTGCGATGCTAACCGTTGATCACCATTGATGAGATCAATGATTACAATTCAATCAGGTGTGATCAAGAGGCACAATTCAAAATTAACAATCATTAACTGTTAACTACTTTTAAACAGTCACAATGTTTGAAATTGTGACTATTCAAGGTGCCTTCTCTAAACCAGCACCTACCTTTTCTTCATAGCTCTTCATAAACTATTTAAGGAACATGAATCAGACTTCAAAAACACACATTTTCGAAATCCACTTTCTCTCTCTCTCTCTCTCTCTCTCTCTGTCCGGTCTGCTTCTCCGAAGATTCTTCAACTTTGCTGGTTGCAGATTTTCGCCCAAGACTGTTGTATCCTATGAATGGATTTTCCTGTAACCCAATAGCAAACTCAATGAAACTGGGGGCAAATAACATTCTAAAGACAGTGTCTTTAGACGCGACTCAGAGCTTCTCCTCCAAAGTTACAGTATTTTTAGACGCGACTCAGAGCTTCTCCTCCAAAGTTATAGTGTCTTTAGACGCGACTCAAAGCTTCTCCTCCAAAGTTACAATGACCCCATTTTCCAACATGTATCCTGTATCATCTCATATATTGTACGCCTTCCTCTTTTTCCTTTATCCTTTTTGATCATTTTAGTTCTTTTTATCCATCAAAAGGTTCTATTTTGGCTCTATTTTTGAAGCAAGTACAATTATGAGTCATATAGAAGATATGTCTTCAAGCCTTGATTAAGTTGTCTCTTTGAAGGAGAGAAACTAAATTAAGTGTCAAGTTTTTTTTTTTTTTGATAGAAAAATTAGTTGTCAAGTTAGCTGTAATTTAATCCTTGTTAATTGAGCTTATGTAATTTGCATGGATCTAAACACTCTCTAGTGCTTTGTATGATGATCATGTATGTGGAGATATACATCTTTGAATTAATGCATGACTAGAATAAAAACCATGTAAGACCGCAAATATAATTTATGATTCGCTATTTGATTATATAATTTATGTGTCCCAGAGTGATTAAAACTTTAGTCTAGGAACAACTATTTTTTACTTTTTTGGGCAGCCAATGACCCAGTATTTCAGATGGTCACTTGACATCCCTCCAACGAATGAAGGTGTGGGATTAATCTCACATACCCCACAGGCTCTCCATGGTTATAAGGTCAGTGCACCTCACGTACAACCTATGAGTCATAGGCCTGTTAGTTTGTTTAAGAGTTTATAGGGGTGCAAATAAATAGGTAGAAAATATTAGACTGGCCAAGGTCTTAATTTGAATCATCACTTAGGGTTGCTTGAATTGAAGAATTTCAACTACTGTGTGTTCATGTTTGGCCTCAGACCCATTAAAAATTTACCAAACGCTCAACACAACTTGTCCCAAGTTATACCATTTTGCTATGTTTGGTTTGAAAGAAAATAAAAGAGAAATTGAAATTAAGTTGAGGGAGGGTCTTCAACATATCTACACTACTGTAAAAAGTAGTAAAATTGAAAGGCCATCAATATTACTATACCAATGGTTTCAACCACCGGATCAGTATAGATGCAAAATTATATTTCTTTTTACTTTCATAACTGAAGTGTTGCTTCAAGTAGTTCAAGCATGGTTCTCTTGCCCTTGGAACATCTGGTATGTGATTTCTTGCCTCTGTAATGCCTTGGATGGAATAACTGGCAATTTTTTCATATTTTTCCTTAGGCCCTATTTGCTTTTTGTTAAATTATTTATCTGAGTAAATGTATTTACCCATATTCTTTTATATTATAGGTAAATAAGACAATGACCGTTTTATTCATAAAAAAACATTATTAATTAAAGGTACATTTTTGTCCCATTCAAGTGTTGATAATTTTTCCTAGGTGAAAAAGTTATTTATCCACCTAGGAGATAAGTATCACTTACCCAAGAAAAAAACGTTCCCTGGTCTCCACATAAATCTGAAAGAAGAACATGCAAATTGGGCCTTCTCATGGTTCCGTTCATGCTGAAGATGACACAGCTGTTGATGGAACGGAACCAGCAGAGTGCGTCCTACACATTGGATCCTTCGCAAGAATCCTCTCGAAACTCTGAACACTGAATCTTCTTCAGTCTTTTCTGCAAGACCGATGTCAAGAAGTGGTTTCTTGACTTCTTTCCTCTACAAAGATCGAATCTTATGAGAAACAATGGTGGCGGCGGCTGGAGGAGAACTCCAAGGACGAAGATAGAAGAATTGCTTCTCTTCTCTCTGGAGTATGAATGAGATCTCATCTCTATTCGCAGGAAGCTTTCTTGCTTTCTTTGAAACCTTGGTTCGAAATCTGATATTTTTCTCTCTTAGAGGGTTTCTCCTCCTTTCTTCTTGATTAAGAAACCTCATAATTAGGAGTTATCCCAATCCAAAATTGTATTTGGATAGGGGATTATCTTAATCCTATCTGCAGATTAAGTTAGCTTATTCCTATTCTTATCAGGAGGTTACCAGATTCAAATCTAATTTGAATTTGGTCTCCCAGAGTGGATAAGGTCAAAAGACCCTATCTTTTAGCTAACATAATCTTAGATCCGCCCCATAGATGGGTGATCACATCAGCCTAGCTCGAAATGGGCTTTTGGCCCATTAAGTGTTCAATGCTTAATTTGTTTCCAATCTACTGCCCAGTTGGACTTCTTTGTATGGCGTAGGACCCAAACATTGATCTACATACCAGCCACATGGGTTCGGCTCAGCCTTTATTACAAGGCCCAGCCGAATTCACTGAAAAGCTCAGTAAACCCCTGAGCCCATCACATGGACCCTATGGGCCCAACACTTACATTAAGTGGTCCCTGGGCCAAGCCATCTTATAAAAACCCAGGGACTGTGGGTAGGTGCAAGATTAGCCCATCAGGTATTATCCTAAATGGTCTTACACTTAACCTCTCAGCCCTTAATGATCAAGCACTGCCTGACAAGAGATGACCTCTCCCTCGACTGCAAGGAACAGTGCCACACTCTCCACTCACATGGATCCTGGGAATTAAAACCATTTGCAAACATTTCGAAACCGTACATATATATATGTATATTAATTTTGCAAAACAAAATTCCAAYGATTGAAATCAACTGCCGACAGTTTGGTTTCCATCAGAAAGAGTGCATTCCCGATCATTACCCTTTGYCCGACAAAGGGGCTGATCCTGTCACTATGATCACCCACTTAGATGAATTCTCAGACTGTCCCAACATACCCAGGTTTTGATTCGCATCTAAGGACCTCACTAATTGGCATATCAAAGACAGCCCGATCCGACACCTAGTGAAGTGTCATAATCGAGTGTAGGGGTCAGGTGTAACTTTCTTGTTTTGCCCATCTATCTCCAAGGTCCAGGGCAATACTGGAAATCTGGTCCGGTTCAAGGATTCGAGTAATCCCATACTGCATATGCCTTGGGTCTTACCCTGGTGGCCGAGACAAGCCATCCCAACACTTGGTGGCACACCAGTATCAGCCTTGGCAGGATAAATCTCCTCAAACTTATCCAATGGTTGTGAATATTTAAAACTAACATGAGTTTCTATAAGTGTCCAGTTTTAGGGTCTTATACAGAATCATACCAAACAACATGAATCAAACATGCACTTTATTTATTTACACTAAAAAACAAAAGTACATCAAATCAGATTGAAACTAAGGGCATACAAAACTGTCTAACACTGCATACATTTATGAAAAGAAAAAATCTGTTTCATTACAGGTGGGCATTGAGAAAAGAAGTCAGTAACTCACTGAGATCTAGTTTGAGACCTAAAAAGACTCGATGATGCAGTCTCTCTTTTTAAGTGGTGATGGAAGCTACATGCTTGATCTTATCCCAATCTTCTCCGCCTTGTCGAAGCCTGTCACTGAATTGCGTTGGCATCGTAAGCTTAAGTTCCTTGAGCGTGTTAACCTGTCTCAACCCATCAGGCAGCATCTTCAACTTAGTGCAGCGATAGATTCTGAGAGACCCAAGTACTGGCAATGTTCCTTCTTCCACTGTCCAATACATCAAACTATCCAATTCCGAAAGGATTAAACTCTGGAGCCTCTTAAACCCCCAGCAGAGAAAATCATTTCACAACCAACAAATGCATTCTCTTCCAAGCTGAGGTGCTTCATGTTAGAAAATACCCATCAAGGTAGGACCCGGATTGTGGCCCGTCATAGTGGCCACGATCTAGATTGATTGGTCCAAATTCAAACACCCAAATTAAAGCTCATTATGTGGGTGTTAGGACTTGAGCATCTTCCTAATACAGCCCCTTAATTAAGGGATTTGAAAATCCAATTCAAATTTGAAATGCTCCATTAATTTGGAAATAATGGGGTTGTTAATTGGAGAAAATTAAGGGAATTAAAATCTCCCTTAATTAGGAAAGCTCTTTGATAGGAAGGCTGCCTAGTAAGACAAAAAGAGAGGACCCCTCTTCCCTGGGCGTATGGTATGAAATCTTACTACTGATCTCAATTTTCAAACTTCATTAGAGTGCTTCCTATCAGCACTGATTGACTGAGATAGAACACAGAGAGAGATTGTTTTTCTGGCTCAAGGGAATAGTTCCATCCTCGCAACACTGGTCATCGTATTGGTGAGAGACTACTGTTGAATATGGTTACATTGGTTTGAATAAGAAGACAACGTGCAGGCAGCTGGACTTTGTTTGGAGGTTCAAAGGCTGAATCGAATACACATCGAATTACGAGGACAACTACAGTGGTTATGGCGTCTGGAGGTATATACTAAACTGATTTCTTTTATTTAATTAAGTTAGTCAATCAAAGGTGATTACCAGACTTGAATATATTAGTTCAGATCTGTATGCTTTAGATTACAAATTAATTCACTCCATTATGTTTTATTCACCCATAATGGGGACTGACATTCAAATCGGAAACACCTTGACCGACTAACACTTCAGGGACGGCAGACTCTCTAATATTGCTATTGGTTTGTCTTGCTGCCTTAAAATGAGTATTAGACAACCTCAGATGAGTGAGATTTAGAGGGAAATCATAAGGATCAGGCAGCTTCCCTGTGCTCCCAAGTTGTCCAACTAATTCCATCTGGTAGAGAAAGTCATGCCCTGAGAATGAAACCAAAGGCAGGAAAGAAGATCCTCTCTCTTCCAGTTGCAAGAATCGAAGCCGGTTCAACTTCACAAGAGCCTCTGATAATGCATCTGCATACGATTTTAACTCTCCTCTGTTACCTTTTATCACCAACTCTCTAAGATTTATCAGATTATAAAGCCCATCTGTTAACCAGTTGCCTGGATGTAGCCATAGTACTAGAAGGTCCTTCAGACAATCTATTCTCATGGGAAAAGCAGCACCTTCATCAATGAAGTCGTCTCTATAATCAGCTGATTGTTCGCAGACATGCTTTAAGACCCTTAATTGCTTCGTTCTCAGTATTGCTGAAATGGGTAGACTTCTGATCTCAGTGTAGCTTAAATCTAGCGTCTGCAGACTCTGCAGATTGCCTATACCTGGTGGGAGCACTCGTATGTTAGTCCTAGAAAGGCCCAAGTACTTCAGAAGGACAAGTCTTCCAATTTTCTTGGGCGACTGTTGGATTTCTCTTCTACCGTGCAAATCCAACACTCTAAGAAGCTTAAAACCTCCATAAAGAGAATCAAGCAAACCCTTCTGTAGGCCATCAGTGAAACATAGAAGTGAGCGGAGATACTTTAAATCAGTGAAGTGGTACAAACTAATTGTTGAATTGTCTGTGTCATTCTGAGGATGGATAGCAAGCCGGCGTGATATATCCGGGAATTGCAACGAGTTCTTCCATGTAACTTAAAGAAATCTATCTTGTTTGGCTTCTGAAATTGCCAAGTCTCTTAGGAGATCATGTTCACGACAAACCAAAGCGCTGCCATCTGGTTTGCATTCCACTACCTGAACCATGCTTCTCTGTATTTAGCCCTTCTAGGCAATCCTCTGCAACATCTTCCATCAATTCATCTCCTCTGCTTTGCACTAAGCCCTCTGCAATCCATAACCTCATCAGTCTTTTCACAGCTAATCTCATAATCTTCTGCGAAAATACCCAGATAGAGAGCAAGACTTCAAGTGATATGGCAGATCTCTGTAACTCAAAGCCAACACTTCTTGGCAATTTGTTGGGTCCTGAGTTAGTTGCCAATTAGCAGAATCAAGAATTTTGGACCACTCTGTAGTCGTCTTCCGTTTTGCAGATAAGAGACCTCCTAGTAACACAATAGCCAGTGGTAATCCACCACACTTCTCAACAATTTTCTCTGCCAAATCCTGCAAGCTTTTGGAACAAAAATTTTCTGTACTTCCAACTTCAAATGGGAAAACTTTCTTCCAAAACAGATTCAAACTCTCCTTATTCAGATGGCGTAATTTATAGGGTTCTCTTGATGGCTCAGCATACCTGGCCACTTCTTCATTTCTAGTGGTGAGCAGAACCCTGCACTGCCTACCCTTATCTGGAACAAGAAGGGCTGTTTTCAAGCTATCCCAGTCTTGTTTCCTCCAAAGATCATCCAATACTATCAGGCATCTCTTCTGCTTCAAATGGAAAGACAGAATTCTCCTCAAATCGTCCTCATCCATCTTCTCTAACGCCCTTTTCTTCTCATATGTGAGACTAATTCCGATTTGCTTTATAACAGCCTGTAGCAGATCCTTGATCCTATATTATTGAGAAACATAAACCCAACAACAAGTATCAAAGCATTTCTTAACATCACTTCTACTGTAAATAGTTTTAGCGAGTGTAGTCTTACCTAACCCTCCCATACCTACAATGGAAACAGTGACAAGAGGCCGAGGATCATTTCGTGTCAGCAACCTAGCTAGCTCATCTGCATCCCTTTGAAATCCTACCACGTCAACTTCTTCTTCAACATTCAAATCTCTCCTCAGTTTCCATGCTTGGCCTTCATTAGACTGACCCGAAACCTCGCCTGCCACGAAAGTTTCTATTTCAAAAGTGGGTTTGTTAGCTGCTAATTTCTCCAACTTTTTGTTAATCTCTTCCATCCGTCTTCCCATCTTGTGGAGAGTAACAAGTTGGTTGGGACCGCTGACCAACCTTTGGTAGACATTCTTCTGTCGTTGCTGCTCTGCTTTCAGCGAAAGAAGATCAATAATATCCTCGGCATCGTAGGCTACGTCTCTGATTTGTCTCACCCATTCTTTTACTCTGGCGTTCTTCTTGGTACTTTATCTGCATACTTGAGAAAGGCTCTGATCAAGTTGAGTTGATCATGAACCGACCCGGCCTGCTCACCCACTCTGAATAGGAAGGTTAACTAAGGATCCGTTCGGTTTCCGGTCAGAATCGGAATTGTAATCGGAATCACCTTTTGAAATTTCACATGGACTGCCAAAAACCGACCGAAATGAACCAACCTTCGGTTCTGTGTTTTTAAAAAACCAAAGTTACCGGTTCGGTTTCGGTTAACTAATATAGAAAACAGTCAATTAACCGAATTGACTAGTATATATATTTTATATATATTTATATATATTTTATAATATGTATTATAAAAATTAAAAAACTGAAAAACCAACGAATTGAACCGATGATTAACCGTGAAAAACCAATGAATTGAATCGATGATTAACCGAATTGGTCAATCAACGAACCGACTGGCTTTAAGTTCAGTTCCAAAAAATCCCCCACGGTTATGTTAACCGAACTTACCTTAACCCAAGGCAGTTCTGATCTCGTTCCCTTTCACGGGTGATAACTATGTTATGTGGAGTCAAGCTATGTTCATGGATTAGGATCTGCTCCGGGTACCTCACACTGACCTCACAGGCACATGGCGGCACAAACAATAGATCTTCAAGATGGTTGAAAAATAAGACAAAGTGGAGATTAATGTCAAGATTGTGTCTTATTTTTTAACCATTGGATTGTTCTGTTTTATGGGTCCTATGTAGTAGTCCAGATTAGGAGTGCAAATAGATCAGATCATGATCCAATATATATTATATAGTTATAAATATAAATATAAATGTATAATACATATATGTGTTATTTATTTATTTATAAATATATTTTTTATAGATTTATTATATTATTTATTTTTTGTAAAAACATATATATGATAAAAATAATTAAAAAATACTTGTATTTTTTATTTTTATATTATTTAAATTAATATGTTTTACTTTTCTTTTAATAATTTATTAATTTTTAAAGAATATAAATCAGATCGAATATAATATAAACAGTGTCAGATTAGACTCGAATCCGATCCGATCCGATCCATTTGTATCCTTAATCCATATTTGCAGTTTTGGTAATCGAATTGGATAAATGTGACGGGACCCGATCCGAATCCAATCATCTTACGGTGCCTGTGGGGCCATCGACAAAAGAGAAAAAGGGAAGAGTGTACGATTTCCATCCATCCTTGTCCATAGGCTAAGGTTAAGTATTATAATGATGTTGACGACCCAAATGTTTTGATTGCCTCTTCTCTAAGTCTCGAGCATCCTTCCATGGTGATAGATATGGACATGGTCGCTGCATATAAACCCTTCAGCAATTCCGGATGCTTGCATCCAAAAGAATCCTTAATTAGAAACTTCATTCGACACGCATCTCCTGTCACTAGGCAACTCTTGAAGCACCACCGACAGAAAACCTTTCCCTTTCAAGGAGGTGTTGGCTGTACGTATTGTATGATAGAAAACAGGAGAGAAACAACAGAAAATTGGGAGAAGGCTATTATGTGTCCCTTTTGGGAGGGCACTGCCCTTTTTTGAGGTGGGCCCCACACAAACAGGAGTCAGGAGACTCAAATTAGCATTCACTCGATCAGTCGTTTGAAAGGATATTTTCTTTAGCCTCTAACCAGCTTACCCCTTCCAAAAAGCCCTAAACCAAGGTTCAAAGTATTGATATGATTCATAGTTCTATATATCAGATCTATCATATTATATTTTTCGAGGTCCAATACACTAAATCTGCATTTGGCATTCTTTAGTTTAAGCATTTATCTCCTTTTGCAATTAAAATGCCCCCATCAATACTGAATTTTTAACTATAAAAATAAAACCTTAAAATAAGGAATGTCAAATGCAGTCTAAATAGACAAGTTAAGACATCTAGCCACTTTCTCTGATACATAGGCCACTTTAGGGATTAATACCCCTCCTAGAGATGTCATGATTCAGTTTTAAAGGTTTAATTATTTTTTTATCCATATGTTTTATTCATTTGAAACGTCTGATACGCAATTTTTTACATACTGAGAGTATCAATATTTTGACATGCCTGAAAGGCAATTTCTTTTTTTGTCCATGGGACATATCAGTATCAATTTTTTTCTATATTGGGCATATTGGCCCTCAACAAAATTAGTTGACAACTTTCCCTTTAACTTTTTGTTTCTCTTATTTTCTATCAAATCAGCATGGCCTTTGGGATAAAGCAAAGTCATTACTCATTAAGTAAAAAGTTTCCTTTAAAACATGGTTTTTGAACTGTCATTGATCCGAACAGTCAGACCGTTTGGCTCGGGAACTGTTCAGGAAATCGGTTCTGTTTTACCCCAAATCTGATCCCTGTTCAAAAGCTGTTGAATCGGTCAAATACATGTTGACCCAAGCGGTTGAACCGTCGACTTGTCAACCCATTCAACAGTTTTTGGCCGTATTTATTTTTTTTAATTTTTGTTGTCAGAACAAACCATCCATTTAAATTAAAGGGTCAAACTGTCAAGCCAAAAACCGGTGGCCAGAACAATTTCATTTCTGGATCGTGTTTTAAAACCATGCTTTAAAACGTAGTTTTGCCTTTTATAAAAAGGGTTTAAGTAGATTTTAGTTCAATATAGAAATACAGAATAGGTAGGATGGCAATATAGTCCCACTTTAGCTTAAAACTGTGTTAGTTTTCTAATTTAATTGAGAAGGTTAGCTATATCTTTTGATAACAAATCAAATTTAATTTATTAAGCAGTTAGATGGATGTTGGTTCAATTCTTTTGGATGGAGTGTGTTAAGTCACAAATAAACCTAATTATTCTACTAAATGAAATAAACACGGCCTGAATGCTTAAAAACTTCTGAGGTGCAGAGGTGGATAGTAGGTCCCAAAGAAAAAATGTACACATATATACCACATGGCTAAATAAATTACAATTCAAAATTAAAATACACAGAGTGGTATCATCCCAATTTAAATGGGAATTGTAGCCTTATATCCTTGTTTTGCTAACTCAAGTAAAAAACTCGGTTTAAATAATTAACTTTTCTAGATAAAGCAGTGTTTTTGGTTTTCCACGGGGGTGGGTAAGTGATTCAATTGTCTGGACCAAATGGTTTAACCCATGACATCTTAATTAAATAATAAAATTATAAAAATAGATAAAAATATAGAAAAGTCACAAAAAAAATTGTAGGAGATGATTATATCGGCCATCTCTATAATATTATATACTAGTAGGGACCCGTGCGATGCACGGGAAAATCTAAAAGATTTAATAATTTATTTTTTATTTAATGTTGATTTATAAAAAATAATTATTGTTAATTGAATATGAACAAATATTTTTAATAAAATTAGTTTTATTAATAATTTATAGTAATTTTAATAATTTTTATTCAATAAATAGTGTAGTCTTAAATAATAGTTTAATCTCTAATAAGTATTAATCTATAAATTATAAAAAATATATAATTACTAAAATTAAATTTATAACAAAAATACAATAAATAGGATAAATTAAATTTCAAAAGTTAAAAAATAGTTGTTTAATCTCAAATAATTAGTGATAATTTTATATTAAATAACAAAAGTAAAAATACATTTATAAATAATTATTGAAAGCATATTTATAAAAAAACAATAAATAATTACTGCAAATAAAATAAATATTAATTATAGTTAGGGGTGATCATGGTACACGAATAGCAGTGGCGGAGGAATTCCGAAGTCCTCTCTCTCTCCCGATTTCTCTCTTCCCCTTCCCCTTTCTCTCCTCCCCTTTTTTCTCGATTTCCTCTATTTTCCGATGTCACAGTAGCAAAGGTAGCAATAGAAGGAATCGTATTCCGAACTGGTTGGCACTTGTATCTCCTGCTTAGCTTTTGGCAGAGTAGCAAAATTCGTCATTGCATCTGGTCCTCTCAACTAAATCGTTGTAGCATCCTCAATAACCCCAATCCAACCGTCCTTCACCACAAGCGAGAAGAGGGCAGGAACTGCACCCAATTCAACCATGGTGGCACGGTTGAATGGGTAAAGCGAGATACCATAGAGGGTTTTAAGGGTGTCGACAAGAGCTAAGATGATATCCCGCTTGCCTCCAACGACGAGAAGGTTGTGTAGGGTCGCGACGATAGTTTGAATAGTGGCAGGGGTCGAAGTGGAAAGGCAGAGAACGTGGGAAAGCGCATCAAGAAGGCTGCGAGTGGACATGAGCACATCGCAGTTGGAGATGGAGATGCTAAGAAGAGTAGCCACCGCATTTCTTTCCTGGGCGACGGTGGAGAGAGCTTCTATTGTTGTGGTTATGCCTCTGAGCCTCCCTAGCTCTCTTGGGTTGATTGATGCGAGGCCGATATAACCAGAGTTTGTTCATATAAATATGCATGCACCTATAACTAGACACTCTTGAAGCTGAACATGACAAATTGTGAATGCAACTGGACGAGTAGGGCTGCTGAATGAGAAGCTTTGTGGAACCAAGAATGACACCAGAAAATCTCACAATACTCCTAAAAGGATACAGAAAACAATAAATCCAAAATATGAAAAAAAATGGAAAGATGCAAATCAAAGAAAATCAAACCCCAAATAAATAAATTAAAAGAAAAAGAAACAAAACCTCCAATGGCATGTTGGAAATGAATTCAAGGTGTTGGTTGTTGTGGAGAAAATGATCAGAACCTGTCCGGAATATTCATGATTAACATCACACTAATAATTTTAGTGGATTGACAAGCCATGAATTTCATCGTCACCTCGTCTTCCCCCAATATCCATCAACACACCATTAACCAGTGTTTTGAAATAAGGAAACTAAAGAGAGTGGAGAACAATCACAAGGTAACCTTCTTCTACTATGAAGATTAGAGAAAGTTACGCCCACTGGGGGAAGCGGACGCTCACTTGCATAGTGCCCTTCTGTATGGACAGTGACAGGACCCCAGAAGCTGTAAATTGGCCGATGCATACCATGGGACATTGGGGGAAGGTTGATTGCTGATCTTGCCCCCGGCGATGTTCATGTCGATGCTTTTCTCGGTGTTGCTGGAAGAATCCATTGAGATAAATCGAAAGCTAGAACTGCAACTGAAATTAGTATGACCTTTTGGTCGGTTCCCACAGACGGCGCCAATTGATGGTGCGCGATCTAGATACTCCTAGCCGGAAGATGATCCGAACACTAGTTGCGTGGCGAGTTGGATCAAGCTGCAAGATAATAGATCAGAGAGCCCAGGGTGGCTAACCCAGCAAGGTTGCTCCAATGCTTAAGTCAGTACTATATTATGGATGCAAACTGAATACTTGAATGCTTGAGTGCTAGTGAGTTAATAATCGTGCGTACCTTTTCCTTGGGGTTTGATGTCCTTATATAGTGGAGTAGACGTGGATCTTACAACAAAAGCTCCGGGGGAGGCTTCTGGAGTTGATTATGTGGCTCTTCAGCTCTTTAGCTTCGAAATGGTACTTCAGTTCTTTAGCCCCAAAATGGATTGGGTGTCGAGGTGCCTTTACGCCGAGGTGGTTTTGGGCCGAGGTGACTGAATACCCGAGTACTAATTATTGCGGACCAAGTTCCTTTGGCCGAGTTGTCACCCCTCTAGTAGATCGCATCCACGTGACCTCTTCTTACTAGGTCGTGCCAAATCACCCTTCATCAATTGCCCCCCACTCCTTGTACTGGGGGTCCTTACCTAGTGCGGGGAGTTCCTGACGAGTACAGGTGGATTTGGCACGAAGTCTAGGTGACTTGGAGGGCAGACCGTTGGTCGGACCTATTCAATCATCTGGCTCAACCAAGAAATGGCCCAGATCGCATCTCGGTTAGGTGTGGACATCACACTGTTTATAAATTCCGCGGACATCAAAGGGCGCACTCAACCGATTTCGTCCTTGGGTAGCGTGCAGCCGGTTTTCCTGGGAGTCGTTGGATTGCACAGATCTCAACCGTTGATTGCCGGATGTGGTGGATTATAAATAGGGGCCGAAAGGCCCATTATCCTCACCATAAATCGTGTAATTGAGCTTTCTTGAAATCGCGTCGGAGTCCTTCAGCTCGCCATTCTCTCCCCTTGTGTCCGAGGTCGTTATCGCCTTCTTTGGTGAGTTCGTCTTCTTTCACTGGTTGTTCCCTTTTTCCTTTCCTGTCCAATATGTCTAGTGCTAGCATAGATAGGTTACTTAGTGATTCTAGTGAGCCCGGGGGTGCCGACGTGCCGTCCTCAACTCCCATCGGTGAGGCTAGCTCTTTGCTAGAGAGCTCCTCTTTGAACCTTTTAGGAGAAATGCCTTTACCTGACATCGGGCAATCTCAGTTTGAGGGACCTGAACCTTAGGTAGAGCGGCCGACCTCCGGAGAGGGGGTCTCGTCTTCTACTCGAGGTCGGGATCTAGACAGCTTCATGTTAGACAGTTTTGTATGCCCTTAGCTTCAATCAGAATGATGTACTTTATGAGTTTATTGTAAATGAATAAAAGTGCATATTTGATTCA